ATTCCACTTTACTTACCTAATATATTTACGTAATATAATTTGCTTATCCACTTATCCCTTGATGGCCATTTGGGCTGTTTTCACCTTTTGGCTACTGTGAATAGTCCTGCTATGAACATAACTGTTCATGTGTTTGCTTGACTACTTGTTCTCATTTGGGGGGGTTTTATACCTATGTGTGTAATTTGGGGGTCAAAGAGCAATTGTGTTTAACATTTTTGAGAAAGTGTCAGATTGTTTTCCACAGTGGCTGAACCATTTTACATTCCTACAAGCAAGGTACAAAGGTTCTAATTCCTCTCTATCTTTGCCAATGCTTGTTATTTTCCTGTTAACTCACATTTAAATGATCAAGTTCAAATTCTAACCGTGGACATAAATATTTATCCTACAAGGAGAGCTTCTAGGGAGTCAAGAAACTGAAGAACTAGACTGTAAGTCTATAATGAGAAAATCATTATTTAAATATTAAAATGGGGCCGGGTGCAGTGGCTCACACCTGTAATCCCAGTACTTTGGGAGGCAGAGGTGAGAGGACTGCCTGAGCCCAGGGGTTTGACATCAGCCCGGGCAACTTGACACGACCTTGTCTCTACAATAAATAAAAAAATAAAAAGCTGGGTGTGACGGCACATGCCTATAGTTCCAGCTACTTGGAAGGTTGAGGCAGAAGGGTTACCTGAACCCAGCAGGCTGAGGCTGCAGCAACCATGGCTGTGCCACTGCACTCTAGCCCGGACAACAGAGTAAGACTCTAACTAAAAAAAAATTGAAATGGAAAGGACATATTAAATATTTTCATAAATGAATATGATTTACCTGCATTCCATCTCATTCCAAATTTGATATGGATTACAAACGTACTTCCAATAGAGGGTTTCCATACTATTTGCATCAAAATGTCTGGGGTGCTTGTTCAGTAACGCTTCTAGTCTGGCCCCCCCCAAATTTAAGACATCAGATACTCAGGGCACCAAAAAGGAAGCATACTCTTGAGAATCTGTATTTTAAATATACTCTTTGGGTGACTCTTTGGGTAGCCTCTTAACTGAGGTAAGAACCACTAGTATACCCAAACCAAAAAATCCTATCAGTCAAACGAAGGGTCAAACTTCATTGTCATCAGCATTTAGAGTATTTGTGATTAAAGACCTTGCTGGGCCGGAGTCTTGCTCTGTCGATGGAGAAGTGGTTGGCCATTTTGAATCCTGCAAGTTAATTTAAGATAGTCGGATTTTTCAATTTTGGGGATTTACTTAATAGTTTTTTTTGGCATATCTCTCCAAGAAGTATGCTGAAAACTTTAAGAAGTGTGAGTCTTTATATTTCATTGACGTGGCTAGAATTTTATTGTAGAAACTGAGAAGAGACCCAGTAACTGAGATCATGTCTCCATCATCAGAGGTCTCTTCCCCACAAACACCTTTTAAGGTGTGCCGGGATTTTTAAATTATTAAGTGTGTGGGACTTTGTATTTCTTTCTTTTGGTTGATGTTTAGAAAATTGGTCATTTCGGTGTTTGCCTCTGTCACTTTTTGTGGATCAAGATTTTATTAAAAATCTAATGGAAACTTTATTCATGCCCTATTCCCAGACAACTAATTAAGAACCCACAGTCCCCCATGATTTTGAATACATATTTGGGGTTCCATGGATATAAACTTAAGAATAATAAGATGTTTAAGTCTCTTTCTCCTTTTGTATATCTATAATTTATTTCTGCAAGTTAAGATTTTTCCCATTTTTTTTTTTACACACTGGAAACTACAGTACTACTCAATGTGCCAAAAAACCAAACTCCCAGTAATTTCAGTCATTCTAAAAGAAAGTATTGCTTTTTAATAGAGACTAAAAGGCTAACATTAAGCTTAAGCATTTTCTGTGGTAAGAAAGTAAGAGATACAACCATGAGAAATATTAGGCAGCAGATTAAACAGAGGGGAACATATGGACAAAGGTGAAAAAGTGAAATATGACATGATAACAAAAGAATAGAGGGGCTTAATTGTTTTTTTCCTTTTTTTTAGTTGGAATCTTTCTCTGTTGCCCAGGCTGGAGTGCAGTGGAGGGGCTTAATTTTATTTTTTATTTTTTTATTTAAAAAAATTTTTTTGAGTCGGGGTCTCACTCTGTCGCCCAGACTGGAGTGCAGTGGCCGCTCCCGGCCACCGCAGCCTGGACCCGCTGGGCTCCGGCGATCCTCCCGCCTCAGCCTTCCGAGTAGCTGGAACTACAGGCGCGCGCTACCACGCCCGGCTGATTTTTTTGATTTACTGTAGAGATGAGGTCTCACCAAGTTGCCCAGGCGGTCTCAAACCTGCGGGCTCAGGCAGTCCACTCACCTCAGCCTCCCAAAGCACGGGATTACAGGCTGAGCCACCGAGCCTGGCTGGGGCTTAATTTTCAAATAACAGTGTGTTCACATTTAGTGGAGCGACTAAAAGCATCATTCCCTTTGGTGATCCTTGACTATGCTCCTTTTGCAGTAATCAATTTACGTATGCACTCTGAAGACACTTGCTCTCCAGAAGAGATAGGGTTCTACTGATTATACCATGGTTACACAATATGTTATTCATTTTTGATACTAGAAAATTTCTGTGAACATCTAAACGTTGTTCCATGAACATAAAGATATGGATAATGTTATATGACCAGGACATGTTGCTGATATTAAAACCCACAAGATATTGTTTTCTTCTACTGTGGAATTTAAGATGCTTATGATTTGGTGTTTCTGCCTGTTTTGCTTAAGTCATTATTTGTGTATATAAAGGATCACAACACTATTCCTGTTTGCCCAGCATTGGGACAAAATTTTCCTTGTGCTTAGTAAAAAGGCTATTATTATTATTTATTTTTTTTTTTTTACAAAGGCAGACTGTTTTTCTAACGGTGATGTCTCTAATGACACAAGGAACACGTTTGCAAGATAACTGTCGGGATCAGTGATGCAGTTTGTGGTCAGAAGTAGACTGACACTTAAAATTTTATTTTTGAATTTTTTTTGAATGGGAGTCTCACCCTGTTGCCCAGGCTGGAGTGCGGTGGCACACTCACGGCTCACTGCAGTCTCAACTTTATGGGCTTAGGTGAGAGCCTTCAACCTCAGCCTCCTGAGTAGCTGGGACTATAGACGCATACCACTATGCCTGGCTAATTTTTAAAAAAGTTTTTTTTATAGAGACATGGTATTGCTAGATTGCCCATGCTAATCTCAAACTCCTAGACTCAAACAATCCTTCTGTCTCAGCCTCCCAAAGTGCTGGAATTACAGGTGTGAGTACTGTGATCAGCCAAAAAAACTTTTTTAAGAGTGAGACTTTGAATGTAAATGAGACATAACTACTCCTTTCTTTTTTTCTTTTTCTTTTTGAGTTGGAGTCTCACTCCGTTGCCCAGGCTGGAGTGTAGTGGCATGCTCACAGCCACTGCAGCCTCAACCTGCTGGGCTCAGGAGATCCTTCTGCCTCAGCCTTCCAAGGAACCGGAATTACAGGCATGTGCCACCATGCCTGGCTAATTTTTTGATTTATTGTGGAGACAAGGTCTCACCAAGTTTTTTTTTTTTTCTTCTTAATAAGAAATCTAGTAAAGAGGCAGACTTCTCTTACCTTCAGGCATGTGGGATACCGAGGGAGGTCTAATTATTACTTTTTGGTTTAACAAAGAAAAATCACAAGTATTTCTACTTTTCAGAAAACTGAGATGTAAATTAACCATTATTATGGGGCAATACATTATAAAGTATGGCAATCAGTTAAAACCAAAGACAGTGATTTATTCAGACTTATTCCTGCGGGCTATAACAATACTTTCTAAAATCTGGATATTACACAGAACTCCTTTGTTAGAAATTACATTTGCAAAAGCAATTTTACGATGCTGAAGAGATCTACTTTTCTGCAGCACAGGGGAAAGAAAAAATATGCCCTCGCAAAGCTTTGCACATCAATGTTTAAAGCAGCTTTATTGACATTCGCCAAACTTAAATCTGCTTCACAAGTGAATAAAAAACAAGCTGTGGTATATCCATACAATGGAATACTACTCTGCAAAAAAAAGGGGGGGAGACTCATTGATAATGCAGCAATCTTGATGAAAACTATGCTGGGTGAACAAAGCCAGGTAAAAACGAGTCCATGCTGTGTGATTCAATTTGTATAAAATTCTAGGAAATGCAAACTAGGTTCTAGCGAAGGAAAGAAGGCGAGTGATGATAGCCTGGTGACATCAGGGTAGGGGAAAGGAAAGAGGAAGGAAGGAATTACAAAGATCAACTAGAAATTGAGGAACACCTTCACTGCCTTGATTCTAATGGTGGCTTCATGGGTGACTACTTATGCCAAAACTTACAAATTACATGCTTCAAATATGTAGAGCTTATTGTGTGTCAGTTATATGTCGTTAAAACTGTCTAAAAAAGAAAAAGCAACACAAGTTATTCCCTTACAACCTTCCTCTGCTTCCTTCTTTCACACATCCTTAAGGCATTAGCTTGGCAAAACCACACTGTCTGCCAGATCCATTTCTGCACCAAGGCAAGCTGTGTATGGTTGGCAAAAAATAAACAACACTGACTAGTGACACTTGAAAGAAGTTGTTTTATAAAAGAATATGCATAGTACAAAGAAATTTTTGTCCAAAAATTATTTCCATGTACAACTTCAGAAATATGTTTGGAAGTTTAGAATCCAAAAGATAAGCAGTAACTATTTCCTAGTAGGTTACAAGTGATTTTGATTTTCTTGTTTCTGTTTTGCTGTAAAATCTAGCTTTTTTAAAACACGCAGCATTGATTACTTTTATAATCATTAAGACTAAAAAAATCTGTTTCTATTTTTAGATATCCCCTGTATGAGATGTGTTGGTCAAGCCACGCAGGTGTCTTTCTGTAAATACAAGGGTTCAAAGGCTGCTTAAGGGTACCCGGTGCTTTTCCAAGTGTATTTTTCACCTGGTCTAACATTTTCCCCCACCATTTTCCCTCCTACCTGTAGCTCGAAGACGAGATTACAACACTGCGACAAGTGTTGTCAGCCAAAGAAAGGCATCTGGTCGAGATAAAACAAAAACTCGGCATGAACCTGATGAATGAATTAAAACAGAACTTCAGCAAAAGCTGGCACGACATGCAAACTACTGCTGCGTAAGTCTGATAGTAACAGAATTTTTGCAAACTCTGGCTCTTCACTCTTCTGTTTTCTTTTGTTGTGTTTTGTCCTACGGGTCAATTTGTTACTCATGGCTAGAAAAAAATATTTTTTCTAGAAGCAAAATAAAGAAATATGAATAATCATTAAGTACATTTTATGTGAACTAGACTCTGTAGTAGCATCATGAAATAAAATTTTATTCATGAAAACTCTGTTTTTCTCACGGATTACTTCATGAGATTTTACAGTTTAAATAGTTCCCTCTCTATTATATGTTTTAAAACACATTAAATATATATAGTGTTCTTTAATTTTTTAAACATAAATTATAATTGGGCAGGTGCTTTTTCCTCAGCACACTTGGCGCTCACTGCATATTTTGAGTGTCTTTACAAAACGGTTGGCAGTTCCAGCACTGACTTGTTGATAGGTGATTTGCAAAGAAAACTTGGTACCTCTCATCTTTTGGTTTGTGTATTTCATCCTTGCTATTTGGGGCTGGATTTAGACCAACAGAAATGACTTTGGCTCTGCCACTGTCTTCTCGTTTTTTGTCAGGCAAAGTATGGAATCACCTTAATTATTCCACAATCATATTTTTGTTGGCTTTTTTAAAGTTGCGTGAAATATCTAATGTTGGTGGTACTTTTCTATTTTTAAATAGAAATCCCATTTTAAAAAGTTTTATTTTAGATTCAGGAGCTACGCATGTATGTTCATTACATGGATATATTATGTCGTGGTGGAAATTGGGTCTCAGGTGGCCCATTCCCCAGACGCTGAACATGGTCCCCACAGGTAATTTCTGAACCCTAACTCCCCTCCCCGCCTGTGCCCATGTTGGTGTCCCCAGTGCGCCTTATTTTCATCATCAGGACCCTCTTGTTCCCACATGAGTGAGAACATGTGGTGTTTGGTTTTCAGGCCCTAAGTCAGTTCACTTCGGATGATGATCTCCAGCCTTTTCCGTGTTGCTGCAAAGGACATGATTGTGTTTTCTTATGGCTGCACAGTATTCCAGGGTGTCTATATACCACATTTTCTTTATCCGGTCAGTTGTTGGTGGGTACTCAGGTTGGCTCCGTGATTTTGCAGTTGTGCATAGTCCTGTGATGAACAGGCCAGTGCAGGCGGCTTTTTGTATGTGGGTTTATTTTCCTTTGGGTAGATCTGCAGCAGTGGGATCGCTGGTTCAAATGCTAACCCAATCTTTAGTTCTTTGAGGAATCTCCATACCATTTTCCATAGAGGTTGAACCAGTTTGATAGAACTTTTCTAATGATTTAAAATATTTTACCTGCCAGGTAGTTTGTGCCCATGTTTGTAACGTGCTTTTTCTTCTTTTTGTGTGTTGGAGGTTAGAGGCTGATGGGGAAAATACAGAGGCTTCCTATCCCTAGCCCTGACTTTAGCTGCAAATTCTACCATCAAGAAATATTTGGATTTGGATTATGTGTTTTCTTTCCTAGTATTTCCCATCGGAAGATGAAGACACTGCATTTCTAATACCTAAGTAGGATTCAGTTTTTCTCTTTTTGGTTCTTTTTTCCCCGGTCATAGAGAGGCCTGGTAGTAGGAACCCGTGATGGACAGCAGTTATTTCAGTTTGAACTTTGCCTGCTGGCTCTTAAGAACTAAGATCTTCAAGGAGCTGGGCCTAAAAAGAGCCTGATATCTCCCCAACGTGGCTGCCTTGCATGAAGAAGACTGTTCCTCTCCCCTTAAACACGGCCCAGCCGTCCTATTGCTTGTGTGAATCCAAAATATAGATGAAAACAGAATGTATTAGAAAGAAAGAGGCGTGCTCAAGGGAGAGTATGGGTTCCTTAAAAGAGGGCACACGCTTCCCTTTGACAAGCTTTATATAGTTTTACCATGATGATTAAGCAGACCGTGAACAAAGAGGGGTGGGCTTCAGGTCTCTGGTGTGGAGTTTTGATTTGCCATCTTTCAACCTTCTAAAGTCACAGAGACCTTCTAAGTAACTAAAGTTATTGCCTAACTAGATTTGGGCTTTTCTTAGAACATCATGTCTGTGTTTGGGGGAATTTCCTATTGTTTCTGTGATTTACTGCACCGGTAGATCCACATTCTAGCCCACAAGGTGGTCAGGTCCAGTGTACCTGGTTGGTGAAGGTCAGGTATCATTAAGAAAGACTTGCTTTCTTGCTGAATGCTTACCCTATTTTAATTTAGATCTGCCTGCAGGAAATGTATCTCTCTGTATCTAAACTGCTCTGGCTTACCTCAAGTTTATCTTCAGAGTCTAAACAACCTTCCCCAACCTGACGATGACAATTATAAAAGAAAATGGAAACCACACATTGATGTACAATTTAAAAGATATCTTGAAACGCCTTATGAAAATCCTCCTAAAAAGAAGAGCTGGATTCCAGACACTGCATTAAATAAGCTTTCTTATCTGTCGGTAGTTTTGGCTTCTGTCTTTTCACTTTGGTGGCCAGTACCAATGAGTGGCCCTGGCAGTGGAAGGCCGAACAATCTCCAGCTTTCTGGGTCTAGCCAGATCTGTATTTAATCCAGGCCTGGCGGCTTCATATCACACTGGTCTGAACTTCCCTCAGGTGTCAGAACCCGGAAGACCTTTTTGCTTGGCCTTCCTAATCACATTGCAGAAGTAAGCTAACCAAATGGAGAGCAGGGCGATTCTGGTGATTCTGTTGCTGCTGGAGGGGGTGAGGGGTTGGGAATGGCTGAACAGAGGGAGTGTCAAGTTTTCCCTAGGTCCAATGGGGGCAGGGTAGGAGGTGGGGCAGACTGGTAGAGATCCATGTGGTTTTGAGAGGTAGAATTAGAGCGGGCAAGTTTAAGGAAGGTTTCTAGCCTTTTCCCACAGGGGGAGAATATGTAATTTGGATTTCTCCATGTTTGAAAACCAGATTGGTTTTATAGCCAGGCAGTCTACTCAATGTAAAGCTTTTTGTTGGAAGAACAGCACAGGTTTACTCCCTGAGGTTGTAGAGTTTAGGATCTAGTCAGATATTCAGAGTGCTGGGGTTTTGTTTGTTTGCTTGCTTTACAGACCAAGTCATGGACAGAGTGCATAGGATTTGGAGGTTGGGCCCACAGAGGTGTGGAGGTAGACCAGTCGGAAAATAGGAGGACCAAGTGTGACTTTTAGGTATTTGACTTGGGCTATTGGGTGAATGCTGAAACTTTTTACTAACATAGTGGGTAGGCACATGGGCTACAGACTTGCTAGGGTTTGCTGCATTCATGAAATGAGACCAGATGAATACCAATCTCCTGGGTAGTGAGGACCCAATGAGTTAATTATCTGTAAAGCCTGCGGGGTAGTGGCAGACACACTGTTCAGCAATTGTTCTCTGCTGTGAGAAAGATGGAGATACAGGGAGAAACCCTGGCATACTCTTTGGCTATGTGGAGTCTGAAATGCCCAATAGACAAACAGGTTTATATACTGAGAGGACAAGTCAGTGGAAAAGTTCAAGGCAGAGTGGACATTTGGAATTCATCTGCATGTAGATGACATCAAAAGCCGTGTGAGAGTTCCTCAAAGTTTATTTAATAAACACAGATAATCGTGGACTCACTAACCTTTAGGAATTAATTTTTTTTTTGTAGAAAAGGATCAATCTCTTTCTTAAAGGAGGAGGCATACATTTATTAGCCATATAATTTTTGGAGAAGGTCTTTCTCCAACCCTTTTTTTCTTGGCTGCTGAGGGAAAGAGGACCTTAATTCTGTGTTGGGAGGAGTGATAACAAAATCTATTTTACCGCTTGAATTGTTAAATCCCTGCCCTGAGTTCATGATACCCATTCCAGGATAAGATCTGTACCTCATATGATGAAAGATTTGATGTGAGAGAATGATGAGCTGTGATCGAGTGAGGTAGGGTAGAATTAGATTCCAAAGCACTGAGAAGCATTTTAGCTGTCAGAGGATGTGTGTGATTCTCAGAGGCAATACTTTGCATATTGATTAAGCAATCATGACCTATTTAGTTTGATTTATAATGAAAAGAAAATCTATGGTATGTTAATGAAAGATCTTGGCATATTTTAGTCAGCAGTAGGATTCAAATTGGAAGAGACCCCGATGAGAAGAAATAATTACTCAGCAGATTGAAATTATCCCTTTATAGAAAGATTCCAGGAATACAGGAGCAGGTCAAGGGATCATCTGTGTCCAGAGTTTGTTGTTGCTGTTTTTGTTATCATTTCTTACATGCCTAGATTTTTAAGAATCTAAAGAACACACAAAAAAGTCCTCCCCCTTTTTTTGTTTTCTGCTGCCTTTTTCTAATGTTTTTTGGCTTCAGGAACACACAAGGGAGATGTGTGGTTTTGGGGTAAAGGAGGAGGAGAAATTGAATCTCTTCTTTAGGCAGAAGAAGTAGGAATCGGGAAATGCAACTTTGTGGTGGGCTATTCAAAGTGGTGGGCTTCATTTATTCAATAAGTGCTCTGCTGTGCTAACCCATGAAACCCCCCAGTAATAAACCCCTCTGAATTGTGCCGGTCTGAGTGGCAGGTCTATAGAGGGCAGAAGGTCTGGAAATGAATTTAAACTGTTCCATCTTTTAGAAAACTTAGTAACTTCATTCTATATAAAGGGGAGCAAAAGTCTCACATTCAGCATTTTTAAAATGCACGGTACTTGAAAATTGGAGTTTAGTTTATGATTTATTTACTCTTTGATTTTGTGCTTCTAAGACTTCCAGGCCATTATCGTTGAGAATGATCATTATCTCTTTTTATGAGGAGTCTGTTGTGGCACTGTTGAGTTCAGAAGTGCCAGTGAAGATTAAAGACCTAAGAAAGACGTACATATCCAGTCTCTCACATGCTTGTTCATTCTTTTCACCTTTTGGCTTTCATCTTGTTACATAAGGCAGGAAGTAGTTGGGTTTTTTTTCCCTAGATTCAAGTGGTAAATTTATTTTCTGATAACATATTTAGGGCGCCTTTGGAAAAAAATAATCCTAAATGTTTTTTGTATCTTTGGT